GCAAGTTGCACTAAGGGTTACTAAGGCCAGCTGTGTGGCCACGGCTACGCAATCATCTTCCCAAGCCAATTCTTGGGCTTCTTTTTCTCTCTTTTCCCGGCACTCCGGGACTAGGTAAACTTTAGTCCGGTTGGTGGTGCAATAACCATCTTGAAAAATATGAGTTCGTCAATGGGAAGGATGACATCCCATATATCATGGAAAATAAAAAATGTTTGAAACCACCAACCAGTTAGTGATCAAAAAAAGGCCAGGAAAGTCGCTCAGACAAACATCAACGGTATATCGATGTTTTTAACCCCCCAAATGGGCATTTCAATAGGGAACATGATAGCCCTTTCTATAAACCATCCAGTTTTTTCAAATACCCTATCTTCAGACAAAACCGTTCAGATTCAGATCCGCGAAATCATCAGGCGACAATCGTCGAAAAACTTGAGCCCCATGTTGTGAAAAATCACCATTTAATCTTTTCGTTCACCCCAAAAAACATGAAAACATATGGACTCTCAAAAGACATGATCATAGTAATACATGTTAAATCCCATGTGGATTTACACACATGGTATATGATCCATTTATGATCCATTTAGATGATTTACCAATGTATCTGGGTAAATTATAATATTTCACTAACCTGAATTAAGGCCATTTGGGGATGATTTCCCTTACTAACCATGATTTCCAGTGAGGTCGTAGTGAGGTCGTTATAATTTACCCAGATGTATACCATGTGAAATATACCATGGATGGGATATTTCACATGGTCTCCCAGTCCTCCGCATCAACCGCCAAGGCATCAGCGCGACAGGCGCCTAAGAGCATTGGACCGTTGGCAACGGATTTAGAGATACCAGAATTTACCCTTTGGTAATTTAACATACCCTCTGGTAAACTAACATAGCTATGGAAAATCACCATCTTTAATGGGAAAACTCACTATAAATGGCCATTTTCAATAGCTATGTTAGTTTACCGGAGGGTAACTATGGAAAATAACCATTGAAATTTTCAAATAGTGAATTTTCCCATTAATAGCATGATGGATCTTTCCATAGTTATGTAACAAATTACCAGAATTTAACAAACATCTCCGGATATGGATATTATGTTAAGATCTTAATATGTTCAAACCCAGATCTTTCGACTTCGGTACAAACATCTCCGTCTTCCGGCGTTTTTACGACAAAAAATCGATGATTTCGTTTTGAATCTTTACACTTCGGGATTTCTGCTTGATTTGCTTCCTGTACAAATCTGGTTGGTGGTTGAGCCACCCCTCTGAAAAATATGAGTTCGTCAGTTGGGATGATGAAATTCCCAATATATGGAAAGTCATAAAATTCCATGGTTCCAGTCACCACCAACCAGTATATATTAACCATTATTAACCATTATTAACCATCATTAACCATCATTATCCCATACATTTCACCAATGTTCCAGTCACCACCAACCAGAAATATTGTTATTCCAATGATTAACCATTATTAACCATAGATTAACCATAGATTAACCATAGATTACCAGAATTCTTTATCTTTTTGAGATGGTCATTCTGTGGGTCTTCATAGAGGTGCTTATCGCAATCCGAGCCCAAGCTACGGCCCAAGCTGGACGATCTCTCGGCCGAATGGTTGCTATAGTGGTTACAGTATAGGATATCTACACATAAGGAAATGATTTGATCTGTTGTTTACGTTTGTTTACAATATCCACATATATAGTATATAATATAATATACATATATTATATAATATAATATATATATATACTGTATATAGCCTAGCCAAAGATGTTTGTTTGACTCCCAGAAACGCTCCACCAATCTCCAGCATCTGGAGGCCCCAACAGCTGCATTGTAAGATATTCTCTGAGCTCAGAAGTCGAAAGCACAGGACCTGGCCGCTGGCGCGCTGGCGCTGAACCGCCCTGGCAGGCCCTGGCCATGTCTCGCTGCGTCTGAGTTTGATGTAGCAACGATCACTGGTTGGTGGTTGAGCCACCCCTCTGAAAAATATGAAATATGGTTAATGATGATGGTTAATATATGGTTAATGATGGTTAATAATAATCTGGTTGGTGGTATACCTACCCCTATATATGGTGATTGTATGGTTTAATATGGTGCAAAATCCCATTGATGATCATACTTAGCTACTTAGCTGGTTGGTGATTTCAACCTACCCCTCTGAAAAATATGAGTTCGTCAGATGGGATGATGAGATTCCCAATAGATGGAAAAATAAAATTCATGTTCCAAACCACCAACCAGATCAACATTTGGGTCTGAACATACTGTGGATGGTTGAGAAATCCTGTACCACCAAAAAGATTGGTTGAGACCCTATTTGCTGGGATGTTTCCCACCGTTTTCAACTGGTGATTCGGATTTCGCCATCATCCAATCATCCACTGTAGTGTACCTAAACTTGCTAAATCACTATATTTTTTGGGGGGTGCCATAAATTGTGCCATAAAAAATCCATCCGTTTTTTTGGTGCCAAGTTTCTCAGCCTTCAACTCTTTGGGAAGTTGAGTCCATAGCATCCGATCCGCGTGACTTGGCAGGGTGAGGTGAAGCTTACTGAAGGTACTGGAAACGCGGGCAGACTTACTGAGGATCTGTTTATGTCATGTGAGGTCTCTGAAGAGCTGGTAGAGCTAATGTGGTCATTTTGTGTTTTAATGGTGGGTGTTTTAACTGTTTGCTCACAAAAACCTGAGTGATCCAGAAAACAGTCAGGTGTCAAAGCAGTTTTTTGTTGTGAGCACAGTAGCTATCTGATACTAACAGCCAGGTAAATATATAAAAGTCCAAGGCAATGTTTTGATATGCTGCTTCCATGTTTTTTTTGGGTCAGGCTTTCCAAGTCATTTCTCAACAGCTGCAGGGGCCGCGGCCAGTGGTGACTTGACTTCCATGGCCACCATGGTGGCCATGGATTGAGGTATCACTGCTATCCATTCTTGGACAATCTTGGACCGGAAACAGTATTCCACCGGAAAAGGGTTACCAGAAGTTCTCAGTTATCCATTCACCAACTAGGCTGGCCATACCCATCTGGTTGTTGGCATATCTTCAAATCATAGGGATACCAACACTCGAAAAAAAACATCCAGCAGCCTACGAAACTGGAGTCAGATACCACCCTTTGAGAATCCGAAAAATTGGATGGATACATGGCAGTGAAGCTACCCTGGCACCGGATGGTACCCTAACATAGCTGGTTTTTGTTGATGTGCATTCCCCAAAATTTGGTAATTTCATAGGTTTTGACATGTTGACCCATCACTATATGAATCCCTATTGATGCATTTTTCTGACCATTCCCCAAGTTATATCTTGTCCAAGCTTTGACCGTGGATGAAAAATATCCAGAAATCACCAAAATTTATGAAAAGGGGAACTTCATACAAGGTGGTGCCCCATAGTTAGCTAAGTTGGTTTATGGCAGATATAACTATAGTTAATGGGGTTTATAACCCAACTTATAACTGGGGAGCACCATCCTGTATGTGTGTCTTCACGATAAAAAAAAGTGCTTCTATGCGGGGCATGCGGCATGTATCTTTACCTATCCTTGATTTTTTTGCATGTCTAGTGAATCAGGAATGTATCTGAAAAAATGTCTCCATGGCACTGGTCGCTCTCCTTTGCAATCGTGCCTCAATCTTAACTGGTTGGTGGTTGAGCCACCCCTCTGAAAAATATGAGTTCGTCAGTTGGGATGATGAAATTCCCAATATATGGAAAGTCATAAAAGCCATGTTCCAAACCACCAACCAGTAATGTTCTGTATGTTCAAAAGTGGTGCAAATTCACAAGATCAAGCCATGGCACCAGCCGCCATTTTTTCCGGGTACCTTGATGGTTGCGTCGAGCATTTTAGCCGTCATTGCCGGGCAACTCCCATCTCCAGGTTGTCGCTGGATCAGTGTCTTCAGACATGTCTTGGCTTAGAGTCTTAGAGACTTAGAGACTTAGATATCCTCGAACCAGTTGATGTTTTGAGTGGGATGCTGTTTTCATTCCTACATCTAAGTCATCTACCCTCTGGTTATTCAACAGAATAGCTATTGAAGCCATGGCCCGTAGAAAGTTCGTGGATTTACCCAGCTGTAAAATGGTGGATCTTTCCATCGTTTTTTGATACTGTGGCAGATCTCAAGTATCGAGTTACGTAACTCGATAGTTGAGATCTGCCCAATTTTTAGGCCCCTGGGGGCCCCTGGGGGGTTGCCATGGTTTACCAGATATTTTCTGGTTATGACATTCACAGTTCGCCATGGTTAAGCCATGGCCCATTGAAATGGATGATTTTCCCAGCTAGAAACCTCCATTTATGGTTGGGATTTTCCATGGCAAACTGTTAGTCATAGCCAGATGCTATTTTCTGGATTGCTAAAACATAAAAAAAAAACTTCAGGTAACCCGCACCAACTGACATTCTGACTCTGATACTCTGACCATTTCTGGCTATTCTGACATTCCATCTGAGATTACATATTTTGAAATTCTATCTGACATGTGTATGTATATATATATATATATTCTACATAACTTTATGTAACTAGCATTTTATCTGACAGTGTATCTGACATAGCCATTAAATCTGGCATTCTGATTCTGGCATAGTGTTCGGGAGCGGCGAGGTCCAGAGGGTGAGCTGGACGAGCTGGGCCAGGGGGACACTTGACATACCATCTGCTTATGACTAACTAACAGTTAGCCATGGAATGATCCACCATGGAAAATCACCATGTTTGAGTTCGGTAAACCATCTATTTCGATTAGGGCCATGGCTTAACCATGGCGAACTGTGAATGTCATAACCAGATGGTAAAATCAACAGACCCTGGCAGCTGGCAGGGGGAAAAAAAACATCTCATGATTTTCATGGCATCATCAACATTTCTACCTCAACAAGCAGAAAAAACCCTAAACTGATCTAAACTGTCTATAGTATTGGGATCATCAACCTATTTATGATTTCATGGCTAGGAATCACCTCAACAAAAACAGCACCCAGAGACGGGACCCTTTAAGCACTGAGCTTGGAGTCAGATCAGCACCGATGGCTCTCCACCCAAAACTTCGCGCCCCCGGGCGGTCGGCCGTTTCACCACCGGTGCGGAGCCAGAGTTTTTTTTTCAAAGCTCCACCTGTCCTGGAAAAAGTGGGGCCCCAGTTTCGTTTCTGGGAAATTCAAGCAAACCAATTTTGGGGATACATTGATACCATTGAGGATATATATATATATATACATATATATATATATACATATATATATATACATATATATATATATATACATATATATATATATATCAATGGGAATTCCAGGATCCTAAAATGGAGGTACTGTACCATATAAGGCCATATTTTGGGGGGATATCCCCTTACATAGCCCTTATATAGGCCTTATATATGGTAGGTACCTCCATTTTAGGATCCTGAAATTCCCATTGAAAATATATATATATGGTATAGTCTGTAGAATTGGCATATAATGTGGGTAGCATTTGATTTGTGAGCCGAAATAGTGGCGAAATAAACTCGGATCTATGGTGATTCCGTGTGAGAAAAGAGGCAGAGTCAACAGGGAAAATGGTCCATTTATAGATGAGTGACCTACATTTACCTATTAAACATCACGGTGATTTTCCATGTATATATAATATGTATAATATGTGTATATATTATATGTATAATATGTATATGTATATATATGTGTATCTGTATGTGTATGTATATGTATATGAGTAGCGGACGAAAGTACTTACTACTCACAATGGATATGGCCAAAGTGGGTGGTCCCCTATCGGTTGTGAAGGTTTGTACTTCCATGCTATGTGTAAGAATAGGGTATCAGTAAATGGGTGGTCCCCTATCGGTTGTGAAGGCTTTTACACAAAATCAAACATCCCAAGTCCACTCCCTACTATTTTAATTTTCCACTCATGTTGTCGGTTACTCATATGTATATGGATGCATATATGTATGTATATGTATATGTATATGTATGTGTATATGTATGTGTATATGTATAAGTATGTGTATAAGTATGTGTATATGTATATGTATATGTTTATATGTTGGCACCAGAGTATTTAGCAACTCAATCAAACAGTCAACCTCTCCCACAGGATCACAGCCGCGCCAAGTGTCACTTGCCTTTCCAAGTCTTCCCTTTTCCAAAGGGCATGAAGCCACCTTTACCTTGGCTCATTTCAAACATCCCCAGCTGAATTGCTGGGCTCCACCATCAAGCATCGCTAGTGTTGAAACCGAAACAATTTTTAGACCCTGAACTTCACCGAGTCCCAATGTATCAATGGATTGGTGGGAAAATTTTAACCGGAAACCCCCATGATCTTAATGGTAAAAACCATGGTTTCCTGTATTTTTTTCCCTTAAACCAATCCATTGAATGTAGAAACAACATGAGTCACGAAGCTATGAGCTTTTCTCAGTCCAGCAGAATCTCAGCAGTGAGTTTTCCGCCAGTGAAATCGAACAAATCTCCTTTTGTGAAGCCCAACCACTGGCATATATTCCGGCAGTTTATCTTTTGCCTGATACAAATACGTATATATATATATATACACATCTTCAGTGATAATTAATCTAATTATCTGACATCTGACATATACGTTTTGAGGTCTCATCTCACAAATATATACTGCTTGGTGGTATACCTACCCCTCTGAAAAATCATGGAGTTCGTCAGTTGGGATGATTATTCCATTCCCAACTGAATGGAAAATCATTCAAAATTCCATGGTTCCAGTCACCACCAACCAGTATATATATATATATACCCTCTGGTAATTTAACATAGCCATGGAACATCACCATTTTTAATGGGAAAATCCACTATAAATGGGCATTTTCAATAGCTATGTTAAATTACCAGAGGGTATACATACAAATATTCTAACATTTTATCTGGCATTCCAGCTGACGCTCGAGCTCGAGCATTCTATCTGATGCAGAGCTGGCGAGCTGGTGAGGCAAGCTGTTAGTTAAATGACCAAGTGGGACCCAGCTGGGGAAAAGCAAGGTCAACAAATTTCAAGTGATGTCTAATATTGTCAAATAGTCCAATCCTTCATTAAATTCTGAAAAATCTACATAAATCAATCATAAATGTACTATCCAATGTTAAACGCAACCACCATTTCGAGCCATGCAAAAAACACCCTGAGAAATCTTCCCCTTCAAAAGTGGGCAGGGAGATGCATGGGCAGCACAAATCCACAAACTCCCAAACGATTCACATCAACTTATACAAATCAAGAAATACATATCAAACCATAACTAGCTGCCCCCCCAAAAAAAATGTTCATCAATGTTGGATCATTTTGCCATGCAATTCATTGATTCCATCTCAATTTGTCCATCAATTGTCCATCATTTTTCCATATGTTTCATATGTTTTTCCATAGTTTTCCATATGTTTTCCATAGTTTTGCATATGTTTTCCATAGGTTTTCCATATGTTTTCCATAGGTTTTCCATATGTTTTCCATAGGTTTTCCCCCATTTTTCCCCATGAATTTCTCTGAGTTGCCACCCTTCATGGCCATGTTGGCCATGTTGGCCATGGCTGCCATGGGGTTCATCTGCTGGGGTCCCATTGGTCCCACGGGCATTGGGCCCTTGCCGAAGCCACCCTTCGCCTGCCCCTTGGCACCCTTGGAGTCGGCGCCCTTGGCACCTGCCGAACAACGCCCTGACTAACGGGACCTGGAGGAATTTGGGATTCCGAAAAAAATGGAAAATTGGGGATGGGTCAAAACCAATAGTACCCCTGTTTTGTTCACATCAAGTCATAGCTGGGATTTATGGATGTGAATCACCCACTATATTAATGGTATTTTTATAGGTATTGATCCATAGCCAATTGGCACCTTTTTGATGGGATAGAAATCCGATACCTAGAGTATTTTTTTGATGTAATTCATAGTTTGAGGATGGTGTCTTAAATGGTTGATAAGGTACCCGGTAATTCATAGTTTGAGATGTTTTCTGAAATGGGAAGTGATCAACTACTGGTTCTTCCACTTCAGATATAGATAATTGGTAAAATGTTTGGTAAAAAATGTTTGATCGACTCATGGTGTTCTACTTTAAGAATTTAAGTAGTAAATTTACATACCCCCCTTATTCCTTTAAGGAATGTACCCTCTGGTTATGACTAACACTTCGCCATGGTTAAGCCATGGCCCATAGAAATAGTTAAATAGATGGTTTACCGAACTTAATAGCATGGTGGATCCTTCCATGGCTAGCCCTGTGAATTAGTCATAACCAGATGGTAAAATCAACAGACCAAACCAAGTTCCATTTCCATTTTCACCATATTTCACCAAAACCCCATAATTCTCCCATCCTCGAAACACCTCATTTCCCCCATCCATCCGTTGAAACCAGCACCTCCCGCGGAGGTCATGCTGCCCTTGGCGGCGCCCGAGAACTTCAGCTTGGCGCTCTCGTCGCCCATATCCAGCAGCAGCGCCCGATGCCTGCGCGACTCCTCACAGATCTTGACGAAGACCTGACGAAAAAAGGGATCCCCAAGAGACCGATTGGGATTTTCCATGGGATTTTCCATGAGATATGATTGGGATTTAATGGGCTTTTCCATGGGATATGACTGGGATTTAATGGGATTTAATGGGATATGAATGGGATTTAATGGGATTTAATGGGATAAACATCCACACTTTGCTATTGAAGCCATGGCCCAATCAAAAGTTAGTTGATTTTCCCATTAAAAATGGTGGATCTTTCCATAGCTATGTAAACGTTTACCAGAGGGTAGCTGGGTAACGGTTGATGTTGGTTTCTTTCATGGAAAATTCCCAAAAAATGGATGAATACCATGTTTCTTTTCATGGAACATCTCCCAAAAAAATGATGATGTTTGTTGGTAAGTACCTGACTTAGGTTTATTTTCATGGAAGGAAAATCCACAGTTTAAAACTGGATGAAATGATATGATTTGTTGGTAAGTACCCCCAACAAACTTAGGAAACCTCCATTATTGGCAGGGAGGTGAGATTTGACTTAAAATTCTGTGTTTGAAAGTCCCAAATTGAAGTGAACTTCGATGATCTTCGATTCAAAGGTGTTTCTTTAGAGTTCCAATTGAAGTTCAAATGAGTCGACCATATATATATATATATACATACCTAGAATAGATATACATACCTATACTGGTGGTTTCAACCCCTCTGAAAAATATTAGTCAGTTGGTATGATTCTTCTAAATATATGGAAAGTCATAAAATTCATGTTCCAAACCACCAACCAGTAATGATCATTGGAATCATTGCTACCATATTTTCAGACAAACCCTTACATAAGTGTCAAACATGTGGAGATATACATACCATTACATACCTAGATATACATTACTACATATATATATATATATCCATATAGATATACATACCTGGATATACATACCTGGATATACATACCTATATAATTATACATACCTATATAATTATACATACCTATATAGTTATATATATATTATATATACATACTTATCAAGATCCCATCTTTAGAGATTGGCGATCTTCTCGCGGCTTCTCGCCTGAGGATACTCGATCTCCTCATCCAGGAGAGATTCCATCACCTGCGGAAGTGCTTGGTGGTGCTATTTCACCTACCCGAAAAATATGGTGATTGTATGGCTATTCACCCAATAGTCATGGTTAATGATGGTTAATGATGGTTAATATATGGTTAATGATGATGGTTGATGGTTGAGCCACCTACCCTATATATATATATATATGGTGATTGTATGGTTTAATATGGTGCAAAATCCCATTGATGATCATACTTAGCTACTTAGCTGGTTGGTGGTGCTATTTCACCATCTTGAAAAATGATGGAGTTCGTCAATGGGAAGGATGACATCCCATATATGAAATGGAAAATTTAAAAAATGAAACCACCTACCAGTGGAACTCAGTGGAACTATTGCTAGGGAATTGTCATTGTTAAAGCCATTTCTGGTATATACACCATTGTACATCTATATTATATTAAATTTACCCTCTGGTAATTTAACATAGCTATTGAAATTGACCATTTATAGTGAGTTTTCCCATTAAAAACGGCCATTTTCCATAGCTATGTTAAATTACCAAGGGTATATTGAATTTCTACAGAAAAGAGTTGACAGTGACAAATGGTCGCTGAATCTCGTTTCCCAGGCCCAAATAGAAAGCTCCAATTGTGGATGGCTTGAAGAATCACCCAGACATCATCAGAAATCTCCAGAAGTCAACCATCACTTCGGCCCCAGTATCCAGCCTCTGTTTGGAACATCTGAAGTCCAGAGTCCCACTGAGAATATCTGGAAATCTGTGAAGCCATGGAAGTTTTTAATGGGAAAACCCTGAGCCATGGCGGATTTTCCAGCCATATCTAGCGATGTTTGATGACACCATAATCCATAAGCCGTTCAGCCCCCCGCATCGCACCTTGTCCTTGTTGACGAAGACGCAATCCTTGGCCAGCGCAATGAGCTCCTGCTCGTTCTCTACGCCGTAGCTCTTGGCCGTGAGCGGCTTGCTGTAGTAACGGTTGTAGTAGAAACCCAAATGGTCCAAGATGATGCCTGACACGAAGCGACCGGTCGTTGTGAGTGGCTGGGGTAGGGACCTGGTAGCGATTTGGATCGTTGCCAGTCGGATGAGAAGAACATATACTTCCAGCACTTGGCCATTTTCAGGTATAATATCATATACATATATATATATAATGTATACACATTGATACATTATTAATATATATATATATATTATACGTATATATCATGTTCCCCCCATCTGTTCAACAAAAACCGACCTGTTTTGATTTTCACGATCCACGCAGAAAAACCAGGAATCCAGCTCCACCCAATCGCCCGGCCGGTGCCTTTGCGATCCGTGTCATCACAGTCCTTCTTGAAGGCATGTGACATGAGGTGGAGCTCAAAGCCTGATTTCATGGCAGAAAAACTGTTGGGATTTCTGGGATTCATGGGGAATCCCAATAAGCAATATGGGGATGTGTGTCAAAACCAATAGTACCCCTGTAGTTCACATCAAAATAGCTGGGATTTATGGATGTTCATCCCACTAAAGATGGTATTAATAGGTATTGATCCATAGCCATATCTTTTCATCTCTAAGACTCTAAGATGGAGTCCTAGTATGTCCTAGTCCTATCATTAATCTATAGATGAAGATGGAGAGTTTCGGCTCTAGCTCTATCTTCATCTCTATCTCTCTGACGACGCCCGTCTCACTCCCTGAGCCACAACGATACTTGGCTCACCCAAGTACTTACAAAACAATGAACCTGAACCCTAAAATCCCTAAAAGACAGTCGCTTCTCAGGTATCACCGTCTATCAAATATTATATCATATTGTTGATATATATATATACATATTATCTTATTATATATATATATATATTTATTATATGCCTAGATCCCCATTGAGTTCTGCAATTTCCCCACGAATTTCCCATTGCTTGGGAGAAAACGCGGACCCTTGAGCCGCCGGGCACAGGGTCATCAGCGTCCAATCCTCGGAGCCAAAGTCCTTGTAGAGCGGCATGCCGCCGCCGATGTCATCCACCTCCAACGAAGAAAGGTGGATTTCATGGTGATTTAATGGGATTTAATGGGATTTACTAATGATTTAATGGAATTTAATTGGACTTAATGGTGATTTAATGGTGATTTAATGGGATTTAATGGTGATTCAATGCAGTTGTTATGGGATTTTGCGATCCAATATTGGGCTGTTTTTTGGTGAAACTTAAGCCATAAGAAGAATATGAATCAAGAATGGGAACCAATAAACATTGGGATTTATGGCAAAGAAATTTGTTGGGAGTTATGGTGTTCAACAAAGACTTTTTTTGGTTGGGTTTCTTCATCCAAGCTTCATGTTCGATGGGAAAGTCAATGGCGAAATCGGAAACCCTCAATTTGCAGAAATGCCCAGTCTGGGTGTGTCTGGAACATGATGAGAAAAACCCTAAATCCACTGGTTTATGTCTCATGATTTTCTCTATCAAACTTGCTCAAACTTGGTCCTACTCGCAGGCCTTATGGCTGTCTGGTGCAGGTATGTGCAACAGCAATCACCTAGAGTGCAACTCTCAGTGTACATTGATGACATGACTCTGTGGTGCCATGAGCGGCAACCGCTGCAAACCGCTTTAGATGCATCGCAACATGTTGACGAGGTGTTAGGCCTTCGGTTGAATCCTTCCAAATGTGAACTTTTCTTCAAATGCCGCGGAGCACAATTGCAAGCTGTCCAATCCTGGAATATCGCAAGCAACAGGAAGTGGAAAATGTCTGCTCAGTTCAAGTTGTTGGGGGTGCATTATTTCTCGACGAAAGCACGCCGAAGACCAATTGAGCCAACAGTTGTTGCGAAAGTGCAGGCACTCCTGAGACGACTCCGCACGGCCACTCACAAGTATTGGTGCAAACGACGCTTGGTGAGATCGCTTGTCCTTTCTTTGTTTTCGCATACGGGTGCTTGGACCACCATTCCGAAAAAGACCTTGCAAAACTGGAGGTATGCCATTGAGACCACCATGTTGGGATACCCTCAATCTGGAAGATCCAGATATCTGCTTTGGACCTCTTTTTTGGCTCCGGAACTTGATCCTGAATTTGCCTTGGATTCCAAAGTCCTTTTTCATGAGCTGTGGAGACTTCGTAAGGAGGTGGCTACTTGTCATAGAGTGGCAGACATTGAACGTTTGCAGTTTTCTGCTGCGGAACCATGTGAACGCAACAGCCGTTTGTATGAAGTATTGCAAAAATGGGGTTGGGAGCGACTCAGCAAGAGCCGTTTTCAAACTTCAATAGGAGTACTTGATTTGCTTTCCCACGGAGCAACTTGCGTTACAGCTGCTATGAAAGCCGCTTGGGGGCATAAGCTTTGGCTAAAAGAACCGCGTGCTGGTCTAATTACATCATTTTCAGACGCACCCGTATGATATACGCATGATGGAGCCAATAAAATAGGAACAAAACCAACTACAACCTGTATCAAAAACAGAATTAATGAGATACACCTTGATAGACTATAAGATATACCCTCTGGTTATTTAACATAGCCATGGAAAATCACCATGCTATTAATAGGTAAACCCAGGTAAACCATCTACAAATGGGCCATTTCCCATGGCTATGTTAGTCATAACCAGAAATCCAGCCGCAGCAAACCACCCGATAATTCACATCGCACTAATTGTTTTTTCCATGGATGGTTTAATCCCATAATTCGTGGCGAAATCATCTTCCATGGGAAAAAAAGGTCCCATGTTTGTTGGCAAAATCCACGCTTTTGAGAGTTTAATCCCATGAAAAATCTCAGTGAAACCCCTTCAAACCCAGCAAAAAACAGGTAAAAACATGTAAAACTCATGGATTTTCCTATGGAAAATCGTAAAAATCATGGATTTTCCTATGGAAAATCTCCCCAAATCGAGCAACAAAAACCCATCACCGGCCCTGAAAAAGCCTCGTCCACACCGAAGATGTCCAAAGCCTCGAAGTCCACGGCCTGAAAATGGATGAGAAGGTAACTAGGGCGTACCATGGATTGGAAAGCTCCATGAATTGTACGTATAGTTTTAAAATTGTATAAAGTTATGTATATATAGATGTTATGTATATATAAAATATATAACATGTTATAACTATAGTTCTATAATTAAATCTAAACACAATTTTCCATATAGATCATGATATATTGTAGTATATACTGTAATTATATGTAAATATATAAAAACGTGCAGTACTAGGAGAAAAACTATGATATACAGTGCAGTTCCCCGGATTCGCGGTAGTAGTGCCTCCTCTTCCTCTTCCTCTTCTTCATCCACTTGCCTCGGACGTGCAGTGGTTCATTTGGAAATAAACATGAACTGATAGGAGAAATCATACGGAGTTCATGGAAAAATCTTCGTGAAATTCCCATGTTCAGAAGCATTCTACATGTGTTTCAACTGTGTAATACGATTCCTAGACTGGACAAATCAGATGAAATACCCTCTGGTAAACGGGCTAACATAACGGAAAGATCCACCATTTTTCATGGGAAAATCCACTATAAATGGTGATTCTATGGAAAATCACCATTTTTCATGGGAAAACTCACTATTTCTATGGAAAATCACCATTTTTCATGGGAAAACTCACTATTTCTATGGCCATTTTCGCTACGTTTTGACATAACCAGGCCGGGTTTTTTGGGCCGTTTCTCCCAGATGGCGAGCGGCATAGGATCCACCTTCTCCTCTTCCTCGGCCTAAAAAAAAGGCAAAATTCAGGCTCAGGTTGAGGACGCCAGCCCCACGCAGGTAGGTGGATATATATATATATATTATGTATGTATTATTATGTATATATAACTATATATATATATAACGGGAAAGCCCATGAAAGCCCCAGTCGTGGAAAAAACATGTAAACTCGCAGAGCTAGATCACTTGGCAATTCCTGCTTAGATTCCTGACCCCTTGGGGGAGGAAAGAAAAGGAGCAATATGCCAAGGAAGCAAAACAAAAAAGAGTGTAGGCACAGAGCGTCCAGCAAGAGGCAAGGCGACAAATGACGGCACTGTGCCAAAAGTCAGGGGCCAAGCTCGGAAAAGAACCTGTGGACCAGCAACTACACTAGGAAGCTCGAAAAAGGCCACACGTGCACTGAGCACAAAGAATGGCAACGCAAAAGGTGAAAAGGAAAATCAACCCCCGTAACTATATATATATATATATTATGTATGTATGTATGTAATGTAATGTAATGTAATGTAATGCAATGCAATGCAATGCAATGTAATGTAATGTAATGTAAATGTAAATGTAAATGTAATGTAATGTAATGTAATGTATGTATATGTTTTTTGATGTTTTCTTAAGTCTGAAAAAATGAATCTTTGGATTCAGAATTGATTGTAATATATTGCAACATTGATGGTTTCAAACAACAGTTCAAGTAATTACTGGTTCCCACTCATTTGTATGTTTTCTCAACCAAAATACTGTACCCTCTGGAAATTCGACATGGCCATAGAAAATGATCGGCATCATTGAAATGTAGAAAATCCCATATTTTTCCATGGCAAATTCTTAATTAGACGAGGCGAACAAAACATGGCTTGGCATCGTGAAACATGGCTTGGTGGCAGATCCCCCCATTCTCATGGATTTTCCCATTAAAAGTTCCACCGTGGCGAAGCTGCAGCGATTTTCGCCTTCACTTCCTCTTCCTCCTTCGGCTCGTCGTCTTTTGCCTCAGCCTTTTCGGGCAAACTCATTTGGGACAATTCTGGCAACTTTTAGGCCAAGTTCCCCATGCTATCCCCATGCTATCCCTCCATTTTAGGCCATTCTTCATTGCTTAAACAAAAAGTTTTCACCCGGTTAACCCCCCAACCGGATTCGACACATACTTCCATATATGTGTCCATCAGATCAATTCGCAACATCATAAAGCCCTCTTCTTCATTGCTTAAGAAGTCCCAATTCTTGATGCTCCCCCAAAACATGAAAAACATTCAATCCAGATGAGCCTTAAGGATCCCATTGGATCCATATATCATTATCATTCTTATATTATTACTACTATTATTATTCGTTGCTATTATTGCTATTATTGCTAGTATTATTATCTGTTATTACTAAATTATTCTATTATTGCTAATATTATTATCATTCTTATGGGCTTTAAAAAAAAAAACATATACATCCTATATCATCCTATTCTAAAAAACCATCTGAATTCATTGCTTCAACCCCCCCAGTCTTGGCTCCATTTGTGCCACTTTGCATGAAACTCGCCACCAACGTCCCAAAGGGGCCTTCTCTTGTTCCTTTTTGGCCTTTTCGGCAGCTGCTTTGGCCTCGGCGAGCTTCAGTGCCTGCTGCTTCTTGGCCTCCTTCTGCCTTGGAGACGCGGTTTAGGCAAACAGGGAGCTGTTTCGGCTTAAACAGGACGGGTTTTATCTGGCGGACCTCAGATAGATATGGAACTGGGTGAAACTGGGTAGATAACGATCTAGACACCACTTCCCCATGTTTCATGGTTTTTTATTCCCCAAGTTTGGGTTCTTGAGATCCCCAAAAACTCCCATCTATTCACCTGAGTTCACCATCACCATCCACCATCCACCACCCAAAAACGTTGCTGCGGCCACAGCTGCGCTTTCTCGGTGGCCTTCTTTTGGACCTTGGTGCGGTACTCCATCTGCTTGCTCTGCCACTGATGGAAGAGCTTCTGCCATGCCGCCCACTTGGTCTTGAACCACCTGAGCTTTGAAAAAAAAGGTCACCTACGATGGTCACGTTAAAAAAGCGTTAAAAAAAATGGTTGAAGATATGCTAAATCATGGTTGAAAGAATGCTTGAAGATGCTAAATCCTGGTTTTTCAAACTGATGATCAATGGATTCAATGGTGATTTTCATGGTGTCCCTGCTAATGAAATGTGGCGTGCTGGAGCACAACCACCAAATGCCCTGGGACGTCCCAGCCATGGAGGACTGTTGGATCGTAGGTGAACGATCTCAGCCATAGAAATGGGAGCCACCGGGGACTTATCCTCTGGTTATGACTAACAAAATAGCTATTTTTCAGCCATGGCCCATAGAAATAATTAGTGGATTTACCCAGCTGGAACAGAACATGGTGGATCTTTCCAGTTCGTTTTATATGTAAACGTAGAAACCAGAGGGTAAAACCACCAGGCTTATTGACCACTTACAATCGCGGGATTCCATCTTTAGGGGACGCACGTCCCTGCTAGAAATTGATCAAAAAAGCATTTTCTGGGAAAACCCCACATGTGAGAAATCCACAATAATGTGGTTAAAACAATAAACCATCCCCCAGTCATCACCATGAATATATAGGTGGGATAATGTAAACCATTCCCATGAAACTGGCTGGTAAAAATGGCATTGTTTTAACTTAACCACATCATCCCATCTCCATCTCCAAACAAATGCAACTCTCACTTCTGCTTTGGTCATTCCTCAAGTAGCCAAATTCCTTTGAAAAACACCAGCAAAATGCTTCAAAACATTTCAACACCTCACTGGTTGGTGGTTTCAATCCCTCTAAAAAATATTAGTCACTTGGGATCCAAACCACCAACCAGATTTCAACACCTCATATGTTCCAATCTTCATGCCATGTCCAATTTCTCCAATCGTTTTACATCGGTTTCCCCAAGCTCATTCGGCCCCCATTTCTGCAGCGATCCAAGGTCTACAGTTCCTAGGCGTCCAAGGGACATGGAAGGAGCCAAGTCTTCCACCCGACTGGTGAGTTTTCGCTCCAGGACCCACTTCTGCAGGGTCTGCGGATTTCGCGGAAAACATGGGGAAACTGACACCCGAAAAACCGCCATGGGAAAAGCCGTCGTTGGAAAACACGGGTTGTTTTAAAGATCCGGCAAAAAACACATGTGATGATCATGTTTTATGGTAACATATGGTAACCATAGAAATTATGAACCATCTTGATGACATCTTACTTTGGTGCTTTTGGCCCATCTCTTTGGTCAGTCAACTTGCCGGTGTCTGCTAGCTAGTTCCCATGATTGCATGGCGTAGGTTAAGTTAGATTCGTGCTAAATTAAAGGCGTTAAAAAATGTGGATGGTTACCCTCTGGTAATTTAACATAGCTATTGAAAATGGCCATTTATAGTGGATTTACCCATTAAAAATGGTGGATCTTTCCATAGTTATGTTAGTTTACCAGAGGGTAAGAAATGTGGATGTTCTAAATATGGTAATCATTAAATTACTGTGGATGGTTTTGCCGAACCCTAAACACAGGAAAGATACCAGTTGGTAGATTTTTTAAACATCCCATGATAAGGACATCCCTGGTTCCAGTGTTTCAGACCTACCAATAGTTACCAACTGGCGCAGGATTTCGCAACCATCTGCTATGTTTGAAGATGGTTTATAATAGTATTCTGAGTCCAGCAGCACAAAGAATATAGGGTTTCATAGAAAAATGTTGGGTGATTCTGTTTTTGTGTTTTTTCCCGCAAAAATCAACGTTCTCTGTTCTGCACGGGGTCATAATAGTAAAATTCATGATGATTTGGGGCTACCTCCACTGTGTCAGAAACACTCATCCCCATTTCTCCGGGGTCTTTTTTTTCGCACATAAAATCACCATGTTTACTTTGTAAATCCATTCAATCCCATAAAAGCTACCCTCTGGTTATTTAACACATGGAAAATTGCCGATAATCTAGATGATAAACATGATGATTTACATTGATGTGTTCCTATTTTTAAGAAAAAAGCTGTGTTTTCCCATGCTGGTTTCAAAAAACCAGAGGGTTAACCATCAAATATCCCTAGCAAGTCACCATAGAAATCTCCCACTAAGGGTCCATCGTCGCCTGAGCAGCTGCGGGCCCCTTGGCACTCCACTCGTAGTGCAGGTCGTCAAAACCTGCCACCGTTGCCAACTTGGGGGAAACCCCCAATTTTTTTTCGCCGTAGGTCATAGAAAAGATAGGAAAAAGTCAAGCACCCAACCAGAGATAGATGTTTTTGGGTGATGGAATTGGCTACAACTTCTTATTTCAGCATGATTGCTGTTTAAAATGGTGCTGATCTTTTTGGTTCACTCCGTGAAAACGCAAAAAATGTGGTCATTGAAGATGATTCTCATAGAATACAACTGGTGGAAAAGCCAATGTTTTCAAATTTGTCCCATCATCCTCAACATGTTTGATCCCAGGGCTTTCTAGTTTTTCAAAGTTTTTCATATAACCATTTTCTACCGAATGTGCAAGTATTTGAAGACATGTTCAGACATTTCTTGTGCCCCTTTGTTCTATCTTTGACTCCATTTTCAGTCATCTGACCCCATTTTCCTCGTCGATGATCAAAAACCCATGATTTTCATAATCTGATACTTAAATGGTATCTTTCCAATTAAACAACCTACAGTAGGGGTTTATTCATCCAGGGTTGACATTATAGGAAAACCTGATATACCAAGTAGTGGGGGAAAGCCATAAGCCATGGGTGTCCCATATATTTTTTGTTAAAAACCCATGGGTTTTCCCCCGGATCCCCCCCATGACACCGGCCCATGACGCCTTCGTCGAGCTCAGGCAAAGAGAACTTCGTGAAACCTCGGACATTGAAAAATCGCTGGTCATCTTCTTTTCAAGATTGTGATAGAAAATAACTATAGTAACTATAATAGACTCTAATATATATATATATATATAGCGATATATAATTATATATTTTATATATATATATAACTTATGTTTTTTGACCGGCAAACAGAGATTAGTTCGCAGAAAGCTGCAAAAACCGGGATATGAACCAAACCAAGTGGTGATGTTCCCCCCCCCCAAACATGGAAAATCGCCATCTTGAGGGAAAATCGCCCATTGACATCGCGGGAGATCTTTCACTGTTTCCGGTATATAAGTAATCAAAATTTCAGAGAAACATCATCTGCGTCTCAGAACCACATGTTTCAGGAAACAAGACCGTACCAGACATTTCCAGTAGAATTGTGTACAACGGTGTAAAAGTGGAGATTGTTAATGGACTGTTGATGGTCTTGGGGTTTATTTTTTCATATATTCGAATCAGATTTACTCCCATATTCTTCCGGGTTCCAACACACAGGGGTTAGCTCAAAAAATGTCCATTTCTCCACTAAGAGTTTTCGACCTTATCTAATCTCGACCCCCTATTAATAAAGGTCCCCCTAATAAAAAGAATGCCGGCGCTCGGGACCATTTTTTTTTAAATTGTTTTTCCATTCCGCCTATTGAAAACCAATACTACATGAGCCGAGAATAAATTAACACGCCTCGTCGAGCTTATTAGGGGGCATCCTAGCAGCAATCGAACTTTTCGAGGACTCCATCATTGGTGCAATCTCAAAAGACGGAGCACCAAGGCCCATTAAATATGGTTGACTTGATAAAATCACCTTGATTTGGATAGAATTGGTACTTGGGTCTGGAATGGATTTCGATGCTTCAACTTACTAGTAGGTGTATTATTAATGGGTAATTATTACAGCTGATTTGGGTTTGAAGACTAGGGTGCCTGCGCGTGTCCTGTTTTTTTGCACCTCATCAACATGTTACTCCGAAGAAAGTTGCCGCCAGTTGAGTAGCGGGTCCCTTTTTCCAAGAACTAGTGCTGTTGAAAGGAACAGATAGCATTGACAATTCGCCATTAAAATATCTACCCAACTATGATGACAATTCGCTACAATCTTGTGGCTGTTCCCGCACTGCAGAACCGTTTAGCATGATATTCGTATGGGACCCGAACCCCAAGCAGGCTCCGCAGCCCAGCCGTTCTCCATTCTCAACGAAAGCAGTCACAGCCCTCTCACCATGTCCTGTTCCAGCACCGGATGCACCTGGCGATCACCGACAGTCACCAGGTTGAGAAGCTTTGCAGCATTATACCAAGTAAGGAAAGATAGTGACCTAGGGATTGCATAGTATAATTATCTCAGACACAACATGCTTTCACTGACTCGGATAGTGATAGGGATGCACATTGAAACAGCAGGTCTGATTCTTCCAAGATGTCAAATGCTTCGTCAAAGGAAAAATGCAAGCACCGGGCAAATCTTTTCAGCAGGGCTGACAAGAGTGTCTACTTCCATGCGGTTTGCCTGTCTGCACAAGAGGCTTATCTGACGCAGCTGCCCTGTCTAATCCTCTGACTGGAAAAGCTCGGGCTGCGTTTTCACCAAGTGTTTCACGGTCTTGGCTGGGTTACAGGCCAAGCAGCCTGACTTCAGCATTTTGCATGTCGAGCAACCAAACACTTCTGTCTTTGCGGGCTCATCTGGCACACATGGAGGCGGCGGCGTGTCTGGAGGTGGCAAGGGAGGCATGTCTGTGTTCACTGGCTTGTCTCCCTCTGCTGCCTTCGCTTCCATCAAGTGCCGCTGTTGCAACAGCCTGGCGAGCCATTCCATGAGCCTGACTGCCAGCTGACGTCCTGAGCTGACGTAGGGAAGCTGCCCCACTTTCATGAAATCCCTGGACTGTCTCTCACACCATTGTAGGCAAAGCAAGCCGCAGGACCAGCCATCTGACTGAAACGTGCGGTTCTGACGGGGTGGCAACCGCAGATCTGCTCTGACAAAGCTGAGTGCCTGCACAGCTGCCTCCACTGCTGTGTCTGCCTGCTTTTCCAAGGTGTCGACATAGGTCACATGCACTGTCTGCTGTGACTTCTTGAGGCAGAGCAAGGTCCAATGCTGAGGGTTCTTGCTGTGAATTGGCAGGAGCAGCAACGAATCCGCCTGACTGGCCTGATGCGACAAGGGGACCACCGTGGCTTTGAAATAGTGACCCGAATCATTTCATGTCGGGCAAGGGTCTCGTGGCTTCAACAATAAAAGCTATTCCTGCCACCCCTAGATCTACTACTACTACTACTACTACTACTACTACTACTAGTACTACTACTACTACAGAAACAACAACAACTTCTACTTACTACTACCACTACCACTACCACTACCACTACCACTACTACTACTACTACTACTACTACTACTACTACCACTACTGGTAGAATTGTTTGGTTTTTTACTGGCAACTGTGTCAAGTGTTGCGCATGGCCCAAAAAGGTCTGAAACAGGTCCGAAACATCCCCATGTCCAGGATCCCAGCCGGGCAATAGCTTTTACCATTATTGTCTTACTTTCACTACTCGACATTCCATGTCTGTCTGTTTCACCTCTCGTCTCTTGTCGATGCCGTTCTGACTTGTTGCTTTTTCCCCTTCCATGCTACCTTTTGCCCCTTGGCCGCAAATGAGAGCGTACTCGTATGTTCAAGGGGGCCCGCAATGCCTTCAAGGGGTCAGAAAACATTACTGCTACTGCTACTGCTACTGCTACTGCTTCTGCTACTACTACTACCACTACCACTACCACTACCACTACTACTACCACTACTACTACTACTATTACTACTACTACTACTACTATTATCTGGCCTCTCTGCCCGTTCCTGTTCGGCCACAGCCCGGTCGGGACCCATACCTGCTGGGGAACCGCTTACGAGAAGCCCTCAATACTGCTACTCCTCTCACTACTACTGGTACTACTGCTAGTACTACTACAACAACTACAATTCCAACTACTACTACTACTACTACTACTACTACTACTACTACTACTACTACTACTACTACTAGTCCTACTACTACTACTACTACTACTACTCCTACTAGTACTACTACTACTATTATTACTACTACTACTAATTACGACTAATTACTACTAGTACTACTACTACTACTACGACTACTACTACTACTACTACTACTACTACTATTATCTGGCCTCTCTGCCCGTTCCTGTTCGGCCACAGCCCGGTCGGGACCCATACCTGCTGGGGAACCGCTTACGAGAAGCCCTCAATACTGCTACTCGTCGTACTACTACTGCTACTACTGCTACTACTACTACTCCTACTACTACTACTACTACTACTACTACTACAAGTACAATTCTAACTACTACTACTCCTACTACTACAACTACAACTACAATTCTAACTACTACTACTACTACCACCACTACTACTACTACTGGTTGAATTGTTTGGTTCGTTACCGGCAACTGTGTCAAGTGTTTGCGCATGGCGAAAAGGAGGTCTGAAACAGTCTGAAACAGGTCCGAAACATCCCCATGTCCAGGATCCCAGCCGGGCAATAGCTTTTACCAATATTGTCTTACTTTCACTACTCGAAGTTCCATGTCTGTCTGTTTCACCACTCGCCTCGTGGAAGCCTTTCTGACTTGTTGCTTTTTCCCCTTCCATCCGACCTTTTCCCCCTTGGCCGCCAAAGACAGCATACTCGTATGTTCAAGGGGGCCCGCAGTCCCGTCAAAGGGGTCAGAAAACATTACTGCGACTGCTACTACTACTACTACTACTACTACTACTACTTCTACTACTACTACTACTACTATGACTACTACTACAACAACAACAACTACTACTACTACTAGTACTACTACTACTACTACTACTACTACAACTACTACTACTACTACTACTACTAGTACTACTACAACTACCTGGCCTCTCTGCCCGTTCCTGTTCGGCCACAGCCCGGTCGGGACCCATACCTGCTGGGGAACCGCTTACGAGAAGCCATCAATACTGCTACTCCTACTACTACTGCTACTACTGCTACTACCATTGCTACTACTGCTACGACTCCTACTACTAATGCTGAAATAGGTGTGAAGCATGACTGTGTAAACGTGAAAAATGTTGACCACGGCTACGACGTGGACCAGTGCCGAAAAAATGTCAAGCAGTTTGTCAGACATACGTCTGAGAGCCTGCTACTGCCAACGCATTCTAATGCTATCAAAAGCTGTCACATGAAATCAATTTTATCGAATCAGGTAACTTTGGTACTTGTGCTATGCAATTTTCACACTGGCAATGCAATAAGAGTCTGAAACAATACTGTTTGGACTTGACATCTGCCGCCAACTTGCTCTGTCATAAACGAAACTTGACAGATTCGAAAGCATGGTTGATATTAATTCAACCCCAATCAAGCCTTCCATGCCCGTAGTGACGGAGGGTCTACTCCTGTCTCCAAAGCGACTTGCAACTCACACGGCCGCACATACTGCACTGACTGCGGCATCTGCAAGCGACAACGGAGTTCGTCAACACCAGCTGTGAGCTGGTCATCAGTGAGCAACTCTCCAATCTGGTACTGCCTGAGCTTCAGCAATGGCCTGATTCGCAAAATCTCCGTGGCTTGCTTCTTTGCTGTCTGGTGGTGCATTTTGTCCGCAGGCACGAGTCCTCTCTCTGGACATTCCAAATCATCTTTCTGTATCCACATCTGGCTTGCTGGACCCTGACAAAGCACTGCATCTCCTCTGTCTTTCAAGATTGACACAGCCCTGTTCATGAACACGGTGGGCGCTGTCTCTCCGACCACTCGCGCTTTCTTGCCGCACCACCAGGAATCAGCCGTCTCTTCGGCGGCCGCGGAAGCGGCTGCAGCAGCGGCTGTTTTTCGAGAAGCTGTTTTCTGTTGGTTTCTCAGCTTCCGTCTCCGTGCTCGGCTGGGCTTGCCCGTCTCAGCAGTCTTCTTTCTGCCTGTTGACCTCTTTTTGCTGCTCTTGTTCTCCTTCTTTTTGGCCGCCACTGCAACGGCTTTCAAAGCATTCTGAGTGCTCTTATTGCCTGCCTTCTTCCGCCAGGCTGCAACCATCTCTTTCTTGTTCCTTTTCTCGATTCTCCGGCGGTTGGTTCGGCGAACCTTCTTCTGGCTTGTGGTCTGCGTGACTTTTTGGAGCCACGGCAAGTCTGCACGCTCTCTGGGATGCTGCAACAAGTAATTGATCTTTTCCACGTCTTCTTCACTCATCTCCCAATGCACTGGCATTTCAAAGTGACAGCCTGTTTCTGGGGACACCAGACCAGTTTCGAGATGTCTGGGCACGAGCTGTTCGCAGCCAACTTGAGATGGGCTGACTCCTTCTGGTGCCTCGCCCTCTACAGGCAAAGGCTCTGGCTCGCCATTCATCACATAGCGTCCCCGGTCTGCGAGCCATTCTGGCTTCAGCTTGCTGTGGCCTTCCGGGAAATGTTTCGCCCATTCCTGGTTTGCCACTGGCTGGAGTTTGCCATCTGCGTCAGGCCGGAAATGTAGCCACCCACACTGCCTGGCTGTCCGAAGAACTGTCTGCCTGCTCTCGTTCTGCCTGTGCATGAGCCTGTGCATGGCCAGTGCCGCATCCAGCACGTCTGCTTGACTTGCCCGGTAAGTGGGCACTGTGCCCTCTGCGGCTGCCTTGGCTCTCATGAGGTCTCTCAGCTCCTCTTGAAAGCGCGACAGCGCTGACTTGGCCGGCATGGCGAGGCCGACGTCAGTCAGTTGGACCAGCCCTGTGCAAGAAGCTGGCACGCACGAACGCAAACGATTGGTCAGAAAGGCCGTCTCATCTGCTGTCTCTGTCCAAGCGCCTGCGAAGGCATCAACCTGATCAAGGGACTGGGGAAACTCAGAATGCTCTAATCTTTGCTGCCAATGGTAGATGATGAAATATCATGCACTCGGTACTTCAGCCGCTTCAGCCAAGATGCCCGCGCTTCTGGTCTAGAAGTGGCCCCCACCAGCAAGCATAAGAGCTGCGCCATGCGAATCATGACGAAGTGATTCTGACGTAGAATCCTTGGCCCGCGTGACTTGATGAGCATGGGCCACATGGGGTCGCAAACCGGGAACAGTGTTGATGTTTGCTACCTACATGCAACTTAAGGGGCAAATTGCCATAAAAGAAAGATCTTACTGGCACCAACTCTTGACCAACGCTCCCTGGCTTTTGGGTTCCTACTTGAATGAGCATGCATCACCATCGAAAATATTCTCCTGAGCCACCTGCTGTCACCCATCGGAATTGACCTGTGCAGTCTAACCTACTAAAGATGATAATTCATGATGACATATTACAAAGTATTCTCATTATACTGAAATACCGTAGTAGGCCTCATGACCTTGAGCAGTTTTCCCCAGCTCACGGCATCAAGGCCTGCCCGACCCCCAACCGTTCCATCAGCTTCCACATATTGATTTGTCCAGGCATCCGCTTCTGAGATCTGGCTGGCCTATGGCCACATGAAGGGCACCCCGACGGATGCCACATAAGAGCGGGGCACAAGGGGTTCCGTGCCCGTCTTGAACCCGTCGACAGCGACGCGTCGACAATGTTGCGACGTGACAAATTCCATGTGCAGCTTCAGCACATTCAAATCATCAAATCAAAGGCCTACAACACAGTATATACTTATGGCTAATGCAAGTTGTTTACGCATATTTTTTTGAACATCCACTTAGTAACAATTGACTTTATGTCTGGTGAGCGGCAGAGCATGTTCAATGTATAGGACACCAGAACGGATTGCCCGGACCAGTCCACTTCCATTTAGTTTTAGCCCTCCATGAGGTCGCCTTGAGTTCCTCACAGGGCACCTGGCATAAAGCCTCATAGTGGTGGAAAATAATTACTTACCGGTTTCCGGCCGAGTCTCCCAAGGAATTTGATTACTGTAATTAATGGTGGGCCTTCTACACGTACTGTGATTGCCATTTTGCGACAGCAAGGTTCTGGAGGTTGAAGTCCTTAAAAAAACAAGTCTGAAACAGTCTGAAACAAGTCCGAAACAAGTCTGAAAATCTACTATTGGGGGGGGGGCCCACCGGTTTGCTTTGATGCCTTAAGAAAAAGTCCATGTGCTGCTACTGGGCTTTCTTTCATTCCTTTACTCCTGGCTTCTTTGCCCCCCTTCCACACTAGCCTTTGTCCCTTGGCCGAAAGAATACAAACTACAAAATTGGTTTGAAGGAGAAGCATGCTGCATCGAAGGGGCGTCGTGGCAGTTGTGATCATCGTCACGAAGGTAGTAGTGGTGTAATCAGCCATGTGTCAGTGGTGGAATCAGTTTCAGTTCTGATCATCGTCAAGGCGGGTAGTCATTACGCCCAATGCCTCAGTAGTAAACGTCGTTGTCGTAGCATTGTAAGTATCACTAGTAATAGTATCCGTACTAGTAGTACGGGTGGAAGAAGAAGTAGTAGTAGTAGTAGAAGTAATACTACCTACTTGTTGTCGTATTAGGAGTAGTAGTCCTAGTAGTAGTAGTAGTAGTAGTAGTAGTAGTAGTAGTAGTAGTAGTAGTAGTAGTAGTAGTAGGTCGTAGTAGTACTAGTACTAGTACTAGTACTAGTACTAGTACTAGTAGTGGTAGTCGTAGTCGTAGTCGTCGTAGTAGTAGTAGTACTAGTACTAGTACTAGTACTAGTAGTAGTAGTAGTAGTAGTAGTCGTAGTAGTAATCGTAGTAGTAATAGTAGTAGTAGTACTAGTACTAGTACTAGTAGTAGTAGTACTAGTAGTAGTAGTAGTAGTAGTAGTAATAGTAGTACTAGTAGTACTAGTAGTACTAGTAGTACTAGTAGAAGAAGAAGTAGTGGTCGTAGTAGAAGAAGTTAGTTTCTTGAGGTTGAAGTCCCTTAAATAAACAGTCTGAAACAGTCTGAAACAAGTCTGAAAATGCACTAATTATTCGAATGAGACAAGGTCGGGGGGGGGGCCGACCGGTTTGCTTTGATGCCTTAAGAAAAAGTCCATGTGCTGCTACTGGGCTTTCTTTCATTCCTTTACTCCTGGCTTCTTTGCCCCCCATTCCACATGTTCCTTTGTCCCTTGGCCGAAAGAATCCAAACGAAAAAAAATTGGTTTGAAGGGGAAGCATGCTGCATCGAAGGGGCGTCGTGGCAGTTGTGATCATCGTCACGAAGGTAGTAGTGGTGTAATCAGCCTTGCGTCAGTGGTGGAATCAGATTCAGTTCTGATCATCGTCAAGGCGGGTAGTCATTTACACCCAATGCCTCAGTAGTAAACGTCGTGGTCGTAGCATCGTAAGTATCACTAGTAATAGTATCCGTACTAGTAGTACGAGTGGAAGAAGAAGTAGTAGTAGAAGAAGTAGTACTAGTTGTCGTACTAGGAGTAGTAGTACTAGTAGTGGCAGTGGTGGTCGTAGTAGTACTAGTAGTAGTAGTAGTAGTAGTAGTAGTAGTAATAGTAGTAGTACTAGTAGTACTAGTAGTACTAGTAGTACTAGTAGTACTAGTAGTACTAGTAGTACTAGTAGTACTAGTAGTACTAGTAAGAAGAAGTAGTGGTCGTAGTAGAAGAAGTCAGTTTCTTGAGGTTGAAGTCCTTTAAAAAAACACTCTGAAACAGTCTGAAACAAGTCTGAAAATGCACTAATTATTCGAATGAGACAAAGGGAGGGGGGCGCACCGGTTTGCTTTGATGCCTTAAGAAAAAGTCCGTGTGCTGCTACTGGATTTTCTTTCATTCCTTTACTCCTGGCTTCTTTGCCCCCCTTCCACACTAGCCTTTGTCCCTTGGCCGATAATACAAACGACAAAATTGGTTTGAAGGGGAAGCATGCTGCATCGAAGGGGCGTCATGGCAGTTGTGATCATCGTCACGAGGATGGTAGTCGTGTAATCAGCATTGTGTCAGTGGTGAAATCACAGTTTCAGTTGTGATCATCGTCAGAGTCTTTCAGGCTTTGCATGTGAAGGTTTGGGGGCATGTAAGGATTTTGTAAGAGTAGTAGCCATTGTCGTCGAACGAGAGAAAAATATATAATTCGTTGTGCTGCTATGGCGAGGGTAGTGATGGTCGAAGCAAGCGTGGTAGTAATCGAAGCAGTCGTAGATCATGCCAATGCGAGGCAAACATGGCCAAACATAATATGGTATCTTGGTAGCTTCATCATAAGAACTCCTGCAAATTCAAAGAGAATCAGTCATCAGGCAACATAATTTATTACAACAGATAGCGCCACTCTGAAACACCCCCCTAATAAAAAGAATGCGTTCCCAAAATTTCGAATTTTATTATTAGGGGGGGGGGAGGGGGGGGGCCCCCGTTTATTAATAGGGGGTAGGGATTAGTTGGTGGTGCAATAACCATCTTGAAAAATATGAAAGTCAATGGGAAGGACTATCCCATACATTATGGAAAATAAAAAAAATTGAAACCACCAACCAGTTATCATTGGATCATGTCTATTTCATGTTCGGAAAAAACGGATTCTTATCCTAAAAAACAGGCCGAGTTTGGAGGATCAAAAACCAAAAAAAAAACATCCAGCGACTTTCGACTTGGCCAAAGCAACTGGTGTTGAGAAGTTGCTCCGGAATATCCGGCAGGGGCAGCTTGCGGAAGGTCACCTTCTTCTCCTGAAACCATCATAGGCATCGGCTTAGATGACCCGAGTGGTAAGGGATGTTCCCATGGAATCCCACAACCCTGGGACCCTGGGATAGTTTCCTGGAAACCTATAGAAAAAGATGTAGAAAAACCACCTGTTGTAGATCGAATATCTATATTTTTCCATATCGTAAACGGCTACTCCAGGGTAAATACCTATGGATACCTATGGACTGATGACCATTTGCAAGATGGGTAGATAAACCAAGTTTGACTGTAGCATATGTCGAGGGGTTCGGGGGAATGACTTTCAATGATCATATCAAATGCCCCCCTTCTGGGGTGCTGGGGGTAATGGATATTAAGAACGATCCAAGAACAAACCACAGTTTATTGCACGTTTTTTCTAGGGCTATCTCGGCTATCTCCCAGCACTTTGCTAAAAACGGCTGACGCCGAAAAAAACGCAGAGTCATTGGTGACTTGGATCTGCGGGGGTGACATGGGGTGACTGGGTGACCATATGTATATACTATACCCTTCGGGATGATTAACCATGGCAAAAACCCACCATTTATAGTATTTATAGTTGATGAAACCCCATGAAACCCTCCATGTTTTTTAATGTTATTGAAAAAATTGCCATGTTTCAATTTTTTGGAGGGTATCATTGAAAAGATATTGATATTGACGATCACACCACAGACTATGTTTCAACCCAAGACTAAAACATGCCAACATATATATATAAAAATAATATATATATATATATAATTATATAATGCGGGCTACCCTGGGTAAAATCACTAGGGTGACCCCCCAAAATAAATTTCTGGGATTTATTCTGAGGTGCTTCTAGTACATAACCCACTACAAAATATTTTTTCCAAAACACTCTAACCACCCCAAAATAATATCCTTTATCACTACCCACCTCCTCAAAATAATTTCTGAAAATTTGCCAATAAATTATTTTGTAGGGTTCTACTATTACTCAAAAACACTTCCCTTAGTTCAAAATAATTTTGGAAATTATTTCAAGGTGGTTTAAGATGGTTTTGGGTGATTGAAAAAACAAGTAGAACCACCTCAAAATAATTAGCAAAAATCCCCACAAAATTATTTTGGGGGGTCACCCTACCTATCCTCCCGAATGCACCCGACAAGCATTGTCGGAATTTCATGATTTAGACCATCGATTTTTGGACAAAGAAATCTGAATCGACCCCTTCCTACCCCATAAATTATTTTGGGGGTGGTCAACTACTAAACCACCCCAGAAATAATAATAGCCTAAACTGGCAAAATTAACTTCCCATTGAGTAGTTCAAAATCCAAATTGCCTCGAACAGACACACCCTGAGATTTACCATGAATTACTTGCTGAACTAATTATTTTTTAGAACATCGACTTAGCATCGGCTTTTGGGCAAAGAAACCTGAATCGATTCCTCTCTCCCCAAAAATTATTTTGGGGGTGGTTAACTACTAGACCACCCCAGAAATCCAAAATAACCTAACCTTGCAAAACTCAACTTCCCTGGAATAGGTCAAAAATGCCAAACCTGATCCAAATTGACCCAAACTGTCTGAAAGAATCAAACCATGAGAACCTAATTATTTTGGGGGTGGTTAACTACTAAACCACCTATGATTTAGACCATCGATTTTTGGACAAAGAAATCTGAATCGACCCCTTCCTACCCCATAAATTATTTTGGGGGTGGTTAACTACTAAACCACCCCAGAAATAATAATAGCCTAAACTGGCAAAATTAACTTCCCATTGAGTAGTTCAAAATCCAAATTGCCTCGAACAGACAAACCCTGAGATTTACCATGAATTACTTGCTGAACTAATTATTTTTTAGAACATCGACTTAGCATCGGCTTTTGGGCAAAGAAACCTGAATCGATTCCTCTCTCCCCAGAAATTATTTTGGGGGTGGTTAACTACTAGACCACCCCAGAAATCCAAAAAAACCTAACCTTGCAAAACTCAACTTCCCTGGGATGTGTTGGGATTGACGGGATGTGGCTTGAATGAAGTTGGAAATGGCTGCAGATTGATTCAAAGAAGATCCTGACTGAACATGTTGAAATATGTAGTTGAAATTTGATGTAATATGCTGAAATTATTTTGCAGGTGGTTTGCAAGTACCCCCACCCCATGAAATAATTTTCATCATGGGTGTCTGGTAATTATTTTATACAGTTGGAACTATATGAAATAATTTCCCCAGTTCAACTGAGAAATTATTTTGAGGTGCCTTAAGTTGTTTGTTTAAAATTTTCAAGGTGCTTCAACCTCTGTAGGTGGAAAATTATTTTGCACCATCATCAAGGTACGGGTGCAAAAATTATTTTGCTATGGCTCTTGTCGGGTGATTTTAACATAAAATTTATGTTAAAAATTGGAAATTATTTAAAAAAAAAAAAATATTTTGGAACCAACCCCCACCTCAAAATAATTTCCTAAGGTAGGACGCATATTATATATATATATGACACCTATATCATCATAGAAAATATGTTTCACCTATTTCACCTGTTATGTAATAGCTATGTAAAACATTGTAAAACCACATACCCTCTGGTAAACTACATAATAGCTATTGAAAATGGCAAGTTATAGTTGATTTACCCATTAAAAATGGTGGATCTTTCCATAGTTGTGTAAACGTTTAGCAGATGGTAAAACCATCATCAATCCCCCCAAAGTGTGCTGCTCCTCAGCTGTCAATGTAACCTTAGGAGCTTCCTCATCGACTTCCACTTCATCGACCTCCTCCTCTTCCACCTATGGCCGTGGGAGGTTAGGAACAGCTGGAACCAACAAAAACGGTGGTATAAAACCAAACATGATGGGATATCATTGGATACTTTTTTGGGTATCACCAACAAATATCAACATATATCACCACGATGTGATATATAATGATATATATATATATGTGTGTGTGTTTTCATAAGAATGGAGGAACCATCATCTTTAAATTAACATGTTCCCGGTTCCCCAATTCTGAACGGATTTTCTCTCCGTTGCTTCCGGTAAACGGGAACAGGAAACAAAAAGGCCATCAGGTTACTTCGATGCTGATGGTGGATGAGCATCCCCCACATATCTGGATCAAATGCACGACTTCACGTAGAAATAAGGTCATTTTGGGATAGTTACCCCATCAATACCCTCTGGTAGACGTTTACAAAAAGCGAACTGGAAAGATCCACCATTTTTCATGGGAAAACTGGAAAACTCACTATTTCTATGGCCATTTTCAATATGTCAGTTTACCAGAGGCTAACCATCCAGTAGGTCGCCAGAGTTGATGCAGAAATGTTGTTCACAATTCCGGCGTTCAACGAGCCCATTCTGGTGCTTTCCATAGTGGGGAAAATCGGCCAAAATAGATCGTTTCGAATGGACAATCCCAAAAGAAAATGGATGGAGCTACCCCCATTTCAGGAAACCCCAAAAAATCGATCAAAATCACGGAAGTCACAAGTTGACTCACACCATCGTGTCACATGTGCGACGAGAATGCACGCACGCCTCATCTTCTTCCATTTCAACATCCTTGCAGGCAAACGTGGCAGCTCTGCAGCCCCAGTTGGTTTGATGTTCCCAGGGACTTTGAAGGTCAAACTAAACTCTATACCAAACATAGTGGGAAAATTAGGGGTAATATAGTGGAAAATCATCTATAAATGATGGAAATCATATTATACCAAACATGGAAAAATTGGATGATTTACCCTCTGGTTATGACTAACAGTTCGCCATGGTTTTTCGATGGCCCTAATCGAAATAGATGATTTTCCCATCGAACTAAACCTCCATTTATGGTTGGGATTTTCCATGGCTATGTTGGTCATAACCAGATGGTAAGTGGTTTTGCCATCAAATGTAACCAGTTATAACTGGTGAATGGTCTTGGTGATATTCACCAGAAGCATGACAAAAAACATGGCAACAGCATGTACAACACCTGTACCAGGCGTGGGAATAACCAGCCCATAACTCCCAACTGGTAGACCAAGAAAAAAAAGTGTGGGAAGTCACAAGTTGCCATCTGGCTTCTGCTCAAAGATGATTAACCCAGAGTTCAGTCCATCCATTGGTTTCCCACTACTCCAGAAGACATCCATCAACAGCTCGGCTTCAACGTGACGCTCCTTGGTTTCCTCCTCCTCTTCCTCAATCTGCCGGCCTTCGGCTTCAGCCTTCTTGCGTTCGGCTTCCTTTTTGGCCTGCTGACCCAGCAGGCGAAAGGTGGGAAGTGGCTGATCTTTGGCCGATGGGGAACTTTGGGGGGACACAAGATCTTTTTTGGGGGCGAATTGGTGAAAAATTGGTTTGAAAAGGAACTTGCCAGACACAAAGGGGAGGAACATGGAGAAACCATTTGAGTGAAGTGACCAGAGACGCAAATTGAGCTGTGTTTAAAAGGTCTTGTTCTTCTGAAGGCGCTAAGGGAACGCTTACGCGGCAGCTTACGCGCTGCTTAAGCGCCCGCAGTTTTAGCTTACGCGCGGGAAAAGCTTACGCTGATGCTTACGCGGGCTTACGCACACCAGGGTTTTGCTTCAGCGAGGTCCTTATGGCCACCCTCTTACTAAAAATGAATCAGAAGGGTTTGGACGTGGCTCAATTGAAACTACAAAACAAGGTAAAATTGCTTCGGATCACTAGGTTTGGTTCGGATTTCTTTATCTTTCAGTCTCGTATTCCCAAAGATCAGAAGGGAAACACATTTTTCCATCCATTTGGAATCCAAGATGATTCGTATTGTACAATCAAACATGATGCGGACCGAATGGCCAGTTGATATTCAATGAATGGCCATGATTTATCATTATTTAGTGGTTAAATCCCCAAGGTGAAGCGGCTTATTTTTTTAAGCCCATTCTGTGCCCCACTTCTGTATCAGCGCTGAGGCAATTTTTCAAACGTGGTTTTATCCCCTGACTTGGTGCCATTATGCCCGCGATTGGGGTGCTTGGGCATCCATTCCTGGCCAGAAATGGATTCCCAAACCATCCCCAAGGAATGGCTTCATGAAATGCAACTTGACGATGGCTATGCCACGAATAGCCATACTGTGCTTAAATATTCCATCCCTCCCACGAGTTGCTTCATATCATCAAAGATTCCATAAATTTCTTGATTAAAAAAACTTATAGATCTAATTGAGTTGGTTATATACTCTATATAAATACATTCATATATATATATATATATACGTATATATATATATATATTACTGGGTAAATTATAATATTTCACTAACCTGAATTAGTGCGGCCATTTGGGGATGATTTCCCTTACTAACTATGATTCTAGTGAGGGAGAACAGGGTTTGGTCGTGATGAAATTTACCCAGACATATCCATGATTTTCTCCATATTTTCCCCATGATTTTCCCATGATTTTCCTAGGATTTCCCACCATTTTTGATACATTAAAGATATCCAACGAATCCAACAGCATGACCACCTTTTTTTGTGGCAAAATCCCTGGATGTTGAAGTCACATCTGGGCCTTCTCGGCCGCCTTCTTCATCTCTTCCAACTTCTTCTGGCGCTCCTGCGCTGGCGGAAAAATGACGATTGACCCAGAAAAAATGTTAAAAACACATGGAAAAAAACCGGGAAAATATGGCGATTGATCTGGGAAAAATGATGGAAATTGAAGCAACCAACATTAGTGGATTTTTGAGCAAGAAAAATACTGATTTCACCACGAAAGAAATACTGATTCCCCCAGTAATTTCACCATGTTTATGGCTGGTCTACTAGGTGTTTTTCGATCCCTCAAACATTTTTGGTGGTTTCTGGCATTGTTTTACCCTCTGGTAAACGTTTACATAACTATGGAAAGATCCACCATTTTTAATGGGAAAATCCACTATTTCTATGGCCATTTTCAATAGCTACGTTTGACATAACCAGAGGGTAACCACAAAAACCTCAAAATGGAACCATTTCTGCCATACCGGGGACCCATGGAGATGCCATCGCATCAAAAATGGGAAAATTTCATCATCAAACATGGCAGTTGAATGGTCGTAAGCTAAAAACATCTGTTGGTGCCAAGTCATGTGCAAAATCACCAAAGAATAGTTTTTTATGCCAATCTTAGTGGTTATATATGGTTATATGATGGGATTATAGATATAACATCACTGGTTGGTGGTTTTAACCATCTTGAAAAATATGAAAGTCAATGGGAAGGATTATCCCCTATATTATGGAAAATAACAAATGTTCAAAACCACCAACCAGTTGATGTCTGATTTTGTAGCATGTTGGAATAGATGTGGGTAAAACAATAAACCACCCATGACTGGGGAATGGTTTACATTATCCCACCTATAAAAATGGTGATGACTGGGGTATGGTTTATGGCATTGTTTTACCCACATTAATCACTAGATATTATCATAATCCACTAGATATTGCTGGATTATAAAACTATAAACCATAAACATATGATTGGATTATATTGGATTATTCTAGGATTGTTTTAACCACATTAGATGGTTCAAAGCTTGTCTCAGCTCTTCCGGTAGTGGTCGTGCAATCACCAAGTTGCCAGGAACACTCCTGCCGTGTTTACACCCATTTATGGCCACCAAAGAATAGGCATGAATAGGCTACATTTACATACACCATCATATACCCTCTGGTAAACTAACATAACTATGGAAAATCACCATGTTTAATGGGTATATCAACTATAAATGACTATTTTTCATAGCTATGTTAGTTTACCATGATATACCTATGCCATCTTTTCAAAGTCCTTTTCAGGCCCCAGGTCGGTTTTTGTTGCCCGTCAGGTCATCCCGCTCCAAATTTGGCTCGCTCTCCTTCTCCGCCTTCTTTTTGGCCTTCTCCGCCTCCTTCTGTTTCTTCTCCAGAGCCTTTTTGCGGGCGGCCTGCGGCGCCACGAGAACGACGACTCAGAGGGCTGTAACCGGTCTCGTGGTCTCTAAGATATGCTCAGAAGTAGACATACAGGTATTTTGATCTAGCTTTCTATGATCACATGTTCTGTGATACATTGTGATACTAGTATAGCTAGTTATTATGGACTGGTTACTACTGCTGGGTATTAGTGCTCTAATATATTATTATGTAACTGTAATCCACAAACAATCACCAGCCTCCAGCTGCATGGTTACTAACTAAGTGATCACCTCATATAGTAGGCGTGTCCGAGCAAAAAGAGAACACCTAAAATTCTCACGGTTGCAGAAAATTGAAAATGGCCAGAAATCGGCCCCAACAAAGTGAATAGGAACATGTGGTTCAGAAAAATCATGTTCTCCTTGCTTCGATATCTTCTCCATGGGAATTCAACTTAAAAAATCCAATCTGTACGTCCTTCAACTTCGGCCGTCCAACTTCGCACCTCTTCCTTCTCCTTCTTGAACTGGGCATCCGACTGCTCCTGCTTCTCCTTCAGCATCAACTCCTGCCATCGGGAAAACGGGAAAGGGGTGATGATCGACTTGGAGGATATCGACACAGAAACACCTGGGGTGGCAATAGATGGCTTAACCATCGTTAACATACAAAAAACTATGGAAAGATCCACCATTTTTAATTAATGGGTAAATATCAACAAATCAACTATAAATGAGGTATTTTCAATAGCCTATGAATCAACGAGGAGGACATTTATGCTCAATCACCTCTCTGTGGGGCCCAAGGGTGACGTCAGACTGCCACTTCTGTATACCCTCTGGGAATTGGTTACATAGCTCTTGAAGCCATGGCCCAGTCGAAATCGTTGATTTACCCATATATAATACTGCTTGGTGGTTTGGAACCCCACATATAATACAGTAGCTATTGAAAACCCCCATAAAAATGGATGATTTGTCTATTCAAAATGGTGATGTTCCAGTTCGCGAACTGTAAACGTTCACCAGAGGGTAAATTCCGAGCCGTGTTCTTGAAAATCGCCAAAATGGTTCCCCAGATGCCCCTCCTTCATCTTCACCGCTGAAACAAAAAATTGCTGGCGATCCATCACCCCAAATCCGGTTAAACCACGAGAAAACAAACATCATCTGGTTGGTGGTTTTAACCATCCTGAAAAATATTAGTCAATGGGAAGGATTATCCCATATATGAAATGGAAAATAAAACATGTTCCAAACCACCAATCAGTCATTTTCCCATTACTTTCCCATGACAAATCTCTCAAGAACCCATCAGCAGCGTCTCCAAGTTCTTCTTCTTGAAGTCTGCATCTGGAGTTCCCATGACCACGTAGGCTTTTTTCCTGGTGGCTATATCTGGCTATGCTTGCGGCGCAAGAATGAAGCAGAGAAGCTGATTACAGTGTCAATGAACGTCTTAAATGCAAGAATGACACAGAAAACATCAAATTTAGGATAGTATATAGTGTATAATATATATATATACATATATATTATTATACATATATATATATACATATATACATATATATATATACATATACTGTATATATATACATATATATACATATATAATACATATATATTATATATATACATAGATTGATAGAAACCAAGAGCGAGTGATTGCTTCTTGAATCAACTTCAGCAAATTTGGACTATCCCCAATCAAGCCGCCCGATTTTTCCCTAAAAAAATCCTGCGCAAATATCCGGTAAATATCCATTCTCGTCTCCATGAAACAACTCCGGTATACTAGGATCAGATAGTCATCCAAACAAGAATTCAAAGACCCCCCAAATAATCTCTATCTGGCTATGGGTCAAAACCCTGGTACCTAGTGAACCCCAAAATAGCTGGTAAATGGATGTTCATCCCACTAAAAATGTATCTATAGGTATTGACCCATACCCATCTCATTCTATCTCCCATTGTCATCAAAAATCCCCAATTTTCCTGGGCAGTTCCACCCCCCGAAGCGATTTTTTTGAGAAAAGGTTGCTGGTTGCATCATGCCAATGTGTCGCAAAGAAATTCCATCCTCATTACATCCTCGTTCTATCCTCATTCAACACTAGATCCACATTAATCCCATCAAAAAAATTAGAATCGGGATGAATCGGGTTATATTTTGTCATTTACCACGATTGAATACGATTGATACATATTGATCTACTATACTGATATATACTGTAGATTACATTCCCACATACTTCGGGAGATCGGCTCGACCTTGGACCCTCATCCGACCTTCGTTTTTTGAGCACCGAGGCGCTTGAAAGAGGCATCGAAGAACTGGCCCAAAGAGGCCATACGCGTCTCTTTGCTCAGGTTGCCCCTGAGCTCCATAATGATGTAATGCCTAAAGGCCGGAATCGGAATCCTCCGATGATGTTATGAATCGCTCGAAGAAGTCCCTATATGGGCCTATTCCATTGATAAATGTGTAGCATGTCCATTATTAAATATATTAAGTGGCTGAACTAACTATGGTTACTGACCATGGTTACTAACCAACTACAATCCGTGGGATGGGATTTCGGCCGTTGAGGTTACCACTTTCTGGGTCAAAAATGATGGGATTCGGAAAATCGCGTCATTTTGACGCCCCATGAGTTGTATCAAAATGGCTATGGCCCTATGGTTCCTATGGTGAAATACATCCAGACCCGAACTGGATCATGGGGAGGTGGGATGCGAACATCCAAGCCAACATGGTGTTTGGATCAAGTGGGATTTTGATGATTTTGGGACAAGGCTCAAAGAAAGCCAGCGACAAGGCCCGGGTGAAAATATACGGAAATCCCAAAAAGAAGTCATAGGAATTGATGGGAATTGTTCAGGGGACTTTGATGTCTGGGAGGTTATTTTTTTGGAAAGTTTTATTGATGATGGGATTCTACAGCTGCAGTACCTTGTTGCTTTTCAAAGTTTTCGACCTTCGGAATGGCGACCCACACACCGAAATAATGAGCCCTTACGACTGAAAAATGCCATGGTAAATTACACACCTCAAGTCGTCACCGGTGCTTTCGACCCTATGAATACCATTGAATACCTAGTTTCGTCCCAGAATTCGTCGGCCTCTGGTAATCAAAGATTTAGCAATGGAATGCCACCACTGATGATTCGTTTCCATTGCAAAACCTCCATATTTCGTGGATTTTCCCATTTAAGTTTAGGAGATATTAACTATAGTTTAACCATCATTAACCATGATTAACCTCAGTATTAAAAGCCTCTATTTTTAGGTGATTATCCTCTAAAAAATCTGACATAGCTATAATCTAAATTGCCATTTATAAATAATTTACCCATATCCTATTATTTCAATGGTGATTTTCAATAGCTATGTTAGTTTACCAGAGGGTAAATCATGGTAAATCACCAAGTATCACCATGAAATTCCATGTTTTACCATAAATAAGTCCGTTTTTTTTACCATTGAAATTCAGATATTTTAGGGTACATTTCTATAGGTTTTTTTCAGGGTAATACCACATGGTCCAGTCGATAAAACCTCCAGTGACTTTCGAGGTGAAAATCTCACGTCAACTCCCGGATTGATAGACCATTGGCCATGTTTTTTTTGGGGTGTATTCACCCAATAGTCATGGTTAATGATGGTTAATGATGGTTAATATATGGTTAATGATGATGGTTGGTGGTTGAGCCACCTACCCTATATGTGGTGATTGCATGGTTTAATATGGTGCAAAATCCCATTGATGATCATACTTAGCTACTTAGCTGGTTGGTGGTTGAGCCACCTACCCCTCTGAAAAATCATGGAGTTAAAGTCAGTTGGGATGATGACGTTCCCAACTGAATGGAAAATCATAAAATTCCATGGTTCCAGTCACCACCGTTACCAGTCATGATTTGATACTCAAAAATGGTACCCTCCCAATTCAGCCCAGCCGTTTGGGGTTAATCCAATGTCCCATGGAAAATTCACCCACCCTCGGCGCCTCTTCTGGAGAGCCGCCATGCACTGAATCATCCTGTCACGTCTAAGTCACGTGCGCGCGCGAAATCTTCCCCCAAAGACATCCCTAGAAATGGCCGAAAACATCCACAAACCAACTCAAAAATGGTGTAACAAACATACATCTGGTGAAAAAATCGTTCGAAATTGACAAATTTCCCAGAAATATGGCCAACAAACATGTCAATAATAAAGTACTCAACAGATCCAAAGGCTGAGCCGTTGAGCTGATGTAAAACTTGCTGAACAGGACGTCCAACATCTCCATCGTTTTCGATGATCCAATGGTTTTTTCATCTGTGTTCCTTCTTAAACACTGCCAATTTCGGATATACCACATCTGTGCATGTCCTAAAAGGAACGATGCTCTTCTAAAATTCACATTGAAATGGGAAAAAAATGTGACTGGTAAAACGGTAAAATCACATTTAAGCAGCCACTTTGGTCGAATGGGATGATGGAACGCTTCCAATCATGAGATGATTATAGCCATTGAACGTGCCAACGGCTTTTAGAATTGGTAGTACCTTCCAGTGAATTAACATGAATTATTGACATAGATTCTGGCTGAATCTAATTCTACCAATGCGAACATAGCTGAAACTTGCGGCCCCGTATAATGGGGATGATCCAATTCCAGAATTACTGGGGTCATATAATTCATCCAGATTGAAAACCAGCCGGCATGTATCTTAAGTGGTTTTTTCCCAGATATCGATGCTAAAAACTGGTCTTTAAATGATTTAAATCTCCAAAAAGAAATAAAAAAATGGTGAAAAAAAAACAATAGAATCCTGGAAAATCCATGGTTGAAATCCCCGTTTGAAACAGCACCGAAAGCGAAACATTCCCAAATCATCACGTGTCCTTCGGATACTGAGATCGTCCATGTCAGAGATGCCAAAGCGGAACTCTGGCTTATCCTTGGCTGAAAATGCCACGTTCAGGGGAGAAAAAAGATGATTTAAGCAGCCAAAATGGAGGATATGACATGATATTACCATATATTACCATCTATTACCATCAAACATGGTGATATAAATGTGATTTTTTAGTGAGTTCATCGATTGAGAATGGAACTTGGAGATGTCTTTTATAGGGAGTGAATCCCCCAAGAATTCTGATGTCGGACATGATGACAAAGGCATCAACATTTGGGGAAACCTGTGATACAACTCCAGATGGAAACCTCAAGGGTTCAATTTTCAATGGGTAAATCTTCCAAGGATTTACATGTTGAAACCTTTTTTTTCCCCTTTTCCGGATTAGATTGCCAGATTCGTGTTCAATTAAAAATTTTGGGATGGACTTCCTGAATATGACACTGGGCACCGGTTGGCAATTTTATCATCTGCGCCACGCAGAATGGGTGGTACTACCTGTAGTGTGTTGAAGGTACCTGGTACATATGTGGTGTTTTCTTTTAAAAAAAAAATACTTTACTTCGTGTGATCCCCACCATGACATTTATACATTTTCTTACTGGCAAATCTTCTGGCATTCTATCTGACATATCTTCTGACATTCTATTTGAATTCTATCTGGCATATCTTCTGGAATATGATCTGGCATATCTTCTGGCATATCTTCTGGCATTCTATCTGGCAAATCTTCTGGCATTCTATCTGGCATATCTTCTGGCAATCTATCTGACATATCTTCTGGCATTCTATCTGGCATATCTTCTGGCATATATTCTGACATATCTTCTGGCATTCTATCTGACATATCTTCTGGCATATATTCTGACATATCTTCTGGCATATCTTCTGGCATATCTTATGGCATATCTTTT